TGAATTCAAATTTTATACCATTATAGACTGTATCATACAAAATTTCAATTTTACCATCAATTACATTGATTACCATACAAATTAGAACTGACTATGCTATACAATTAGGTAATATTACTTATAAGTTTACAACGTTGCCACAAGTGTTACAACGTCACATATATCAGTCAACCGAGTGAAAAAGAAAATTAGTTTAACAAAATATTATAACAATTAATAATAAAATACAAATTTCTAATAAAAATTAATCGGAATGGTCACTTCGGATTGACATATTATTATTACTCCGTACGTTAATTCTCTATAGAAACATATTTTTCTATAGAGTATTAATAAAATTGGTAAATTTTTTGTATTAATAGGAAAGAAAACTATATTTACGATCTAGACGACAGAATGGGATAATAACTAAAAAGTATAAGTCTTATGGGTTTTATTTTGTTTTATTAGGTTAATAACATTTATGATTAGGTTACTAACCAACTATAAATAGGAAAATCATATCAGCTGCAGTGCCACCTGACAAGACAATTTTATTAAGTTATTATTATTATTTTTGGCTTATGCATTTAGAAAATACCTGGGCTATTGTATTTTTAATATACTGGGTATGTAATATGTATGTGTGTGTGAGTGTGGAAGATGATCATTTTAACCTAAATTACTGTGAGCGTATAATATTGATTTGAAAATTAACCTGAAAAAAAGTTGTAAATCTGAGCAAGGACCATATATATCTTGGATAGTATTACTTAGGTATTACTAATTGATAAATTATTTTAAAAATTTTTTTTTAATAACTTCTATACCTATGTGTATTAATTGTTTGCAGGTATTTATGTAATTGTATTAATGCTTAATGGGAAGGTTAGATTAGAAGCATTTTGTTTATGATTAAAAAAACATAATAATAAATTATTATGTATTAATTATAATTATTGTAATTTATTATTTATTAATAATCAGTTATTATTTATTAATTACTGTTATTAGGTACATGTATACAGATCCATAATATTTTATAAACCAAATATACCAGATCTAATTGGTGGCTAATATTATTTTTTTTAAATATAATATCCTTATCGATTAACGACAGCTATAAATAAACGTTTTTCATAGTTACAATAATTTATTTTTTAATGAACTTATAGACTGACGAATTTCCGTGCTACTATCAGTGTTTACTGTTTACATATTGATTTGATGAATATATACAAGACGACAAGACTATTATAATTGGACAAAATCTTCCAGAAATCATGTAGGTAAATAAAATTCGTTTATTTAGTTGCATATACAATCCTATCGACTTTCACCTCTATGGCTCTGCCGGTTGTAACCCGATTATATTCGATTTTGGTACATTTTTTGGTAAACGATTGCTCGTGGTGGTAGGTAGCAGATTACCAAACTAACAAAGAACATGATTTGTTTTCCTCTTCAAACGCGTAATAAATTAGTGCAAAATTGGAAGGGACGTTGCCAAATTTGGCGTCTTAGTTCATAATAATATAGGTGTAAACAAGCAACCAGATTCAGTTGTAAACGTCTCTAAAACGTAATCGTAAAATATTCGTCCGTCTAAAATATATATCTAATAATATTTCCATTATTAAGTAAATGATACATAACAATTATTCGTTAAAAATATACTATTTCATATTATAATACCTACGTAAGTAAAATAAAATTCAAAAACTCAAAAAAGTGAACCTAATTAAATTAAATTAAAGCCTCGGTTCTTATTAGAAAAACCGAAGTTTGTATTGTCACAGGATCATCCTTAAGTGGTATCAAAATCTTAAGTATTCGAAAATATGATCTCCAAGTGTATTTAAAAATTCCGAAAATAGAATTTAAATATATTATGTATAATTTAAGCTTAAAAATATTTTTACATAAGAAATCACACTGTATAAATGATTATTATACGAATTCTAAATTTCTAACGCTATACGATCTGTACTGACTTCACCGTCGTCACTGACACATGGGATCCTGGTACTTCAAACACTCATCTGAAGCATACACGATACCTGTTGCTTCTAAAATTAAAAATATTATTTCGTAAACGGTACCAATTCAAATTTTATTACAACAGAATAATATTGTTTTAAATAAAATGTTTGACTAATGACAATGGTTATCGAGAATTGACGATTGTTGGACGATCATTAGGAATTCGTCCTGGGTTTGTATAAATTATACATAAATAATAATTAAATGAGAATTTGTTAAAAGGGACCCAAGTTACACTTTTGAAAAAAATTGTTTTGTTGTATATTATTCATCCTCTTTTGTAAACACATATTATATGCTTATAAATTCGAAATCAAAGACTGATTAATAAAATTAGGTACATAAGTTTTTCTTTTTTTTTTTAATTTTAATAAAAAAATATTGCTTTTTCAAGACTGTTATTCATTTGTTTGTATCGACGTTGGTTATTTAGTTGCATTGTTATCTATTTAATTGGATAAATAAATAAGAAGGTAATTATTTTAAAATGTGACTATTATATTAAATTATGATACCTTAAATTAATAAAATTATTAGAATTTGTTTAAAGGTGTATATATGTCACATTACAAAAATTCGTTACCTATTTATAAAACTACACATTATTTTTAAATAATTTTTTTTGTTATTTATTTTTTATACAATACTATTTAATCTAAATTGTGATGATTGATCTTATTACGCAAATAGAAATAAAGGAAAACTCTTTTTTGTTTCTCCTGAAAAGTAGTTGAAAAATATGTACATGGGTCCCTTTTAACAAATTTCCATTCAATTATGAAATAATAATTATTATTTTTTGAACTGCAATAATTGTAATGACCATGGTTGGGAGTTTATAGCATTTGCATATTTTTTTTTTTGAGATGCTCAAGAAATAGCAGAGTAAGCTTGCAATTTGCTTACAGATTCAAAGAACTGAAATTAATAAATTAATTTTGCGATTTTTTTGGATTTTAGTGGTACCTATATCAGCTGGAAATTGTTGCATTTTAACCTGTTTTTTAATTAAAAAGTAGTCATATATTATGAAATAATATTTTAATAAACGTGTAGGTAACTATGAACACATTAGGTCCATAATAAATATTAATATAATATGTCCGTGTCCCACCCAGAGAAGTGGAATTCCAAACCCTTATTAAAACTAATTAAGAAAGAATTTAGGTACCTATACAATCAGCTATGGCCTATGGGTTGTATATATTAATTATAATATTATGTTAATTTTATTAATTATACATATTATACGACTGTAACGAACTAAATATAAAATGTATAGGTACTATGTATAAATTAGAGATTATTTTGTAATTTTCGATTCTGGAAGGAGCGATAAATATATTGAATTTATAATAATTATGTGTATTTTTTTTGTGCTGTCATCAACTTTCAGGGCTGTAAAAATGCTTTGATTTTCTACTTCAGAATCTTTTCTGGTAGGAAAGTTAATCTAGTTGGTAGATTAAGGGGGTAAAAGTAAAAAAATTTCCAGCAGTATTCAAACCGTTAGGAAAACAAAACAGGAAATTAAGGAAAAAACAAAAACTTTTAAAAACCGTTTTTGAAAAAATCGATTTTGATTATTGGTGTTGCCCTTAAAAGGGAAACGTGACATTTTCACCGAATCTTTATATCGGTACTTTTTATACACCATTAAATTTTCAAAATATTTTTACTTATTTTTGAGCTTTATAAAGCCAAAAGAAAATTTCAATTTTTGTTAGTTTTTTTTCGAGTATTATTGAAAAAAATATTCTGTCCGTCAAAAAGCTTAAAAATTCAATACAAATTTCAACATTGAGCCTAAATCCACAATAATTTTTTATTAGCGTCTGAAATTAGAATGTTTACAAAATTGATCAAAATCACAAACATTTGCAAATTATTTTTTAAAAATGTATAAAATGTTTAATTTGTATAGCTAGGTAAGTATTAAAATTGTAAAACAAGGATTCTTATGAATAAACATCAACAAATATATAAACAGTTTTTTTGTTGTAGGTAACACTTTATGTTCAAATGTGGACTAAATTAAATTAGTTATAAACAAAGAATAATGATTTTAGTTATTTTGTTGTAACTAAAAATATTATTCGTGGGTACTTGAAACTTTTAAAACATATTGTAATAATTTTTTCACAGAATAATGTTATTCTGAAATTCGATTTTTCTGCAAAAACTAATTTAACCCACTGTAGTACTAATGCCTGATTGTAAAATAAATTACTTCAATCACTATAATATCATAAAAATATATAGTAATATATTATAGGCCGTCTTTGTTCAGAATCGTTTTTCGTATACAAAGATTTCATGACATTGAATTCAAATTCAACCTGTCCTATCATAGGAAGAAATCTTTTAAAATTTCAGGGGGCCAACATCAATGTAAGTGGTGGGAAGCTTCGATCCTACAAAACTAAAAAAAGTAGGGCTTGACCAATTTTTGGAGTGGGCTAAGCCCCCTCATACCCCTCGATTTCTACCAATTCATCCTATACATTGACCCACTCGACAACTAATGTACAGGAGAGTGGTACCCACTTGCCGAGATACACTCGTCAGTCGACACCTGTCCTATACTATTATACAGCAAAGCGACCTCCCAGGTTTTTATATATTAGATTTGGTAAAAAAATTGACTTTTAAATTTTATAATTTTATAGTTTATATTTCACCTTTTTACACTTGATAAAAAATGCGCAGTTTACATGTGTCAGTATGTTTTCCATGAGCGCAGTTCACAATCGCTGTCAGATATGTGTACTATTGTACCATCATATTCTAATAATGTATTATTTGATAGTAACATGCACAGTACAGTTCCGTAACCAGTGAGGGACTGAGTTACAGGAGCCTGCTAATATTACAGTTATTATGGTTTTTAAAATTCCTGGATAAGCACATTTTCATAATTTATTTCCACAGAAACGGAATAATAATATTGGCTTTTGCTCCGTTTCAGAATAACTGACATGGTGAAAGAGGAGGACGAACTTGGTACGGAATCTGATCATTGTCGCCGACGGAATGCTATTGGCGTCATCGTATCTGGCCCTAGCTCTGACCACGTTGTACTTCAGCCACAGATGCAATACGGGTAAGGCGAAAAACGTTTAGTTAAGACCTGCAATGACATAACAAGGTCAATAGATACGACGATAAAATATAATGTACATACTCTCGTCCTGTGTAGGTGTATTTATATCAAATACGATATAGATTAACGGCTTGATAGCTGCTGTAGGCAGTGGCGTAAATTGGTTGATACAAATGTATCACTTGCACCACCAGAAAATCGTACAAATTTGTATACCTACCTATAGTTTCTATTTTCAAAAGTGTATACTTGTTTATTGAACAAGTAACAATATTATACAATTATAGTTTTCAATCAAGGGTCGTTGTTTAATACTAATTATTAGGTACAACTAGGACACTATAGGTAAACATTTTTCAGGCGGGAATTTCCAAAAGAAGTTGAGGTTCGAAATTAAAATATTTGTCTGCACCAACAGAAATTGAGGCCATCTGGCGGTGGGTGGGATGGTCAAAAATTTAAAGCCAAGTTAAAAAGTTGTTTTTTTAACCTTTGACTTAGTCTCTACCAGTATAGAGTAAAAAGAAAAAAAAGTCAACTGTGAGTGTCATTAATGGATGACAGCTCACATTAGAGTACTGCATGTAAATATTTTATTTTTATTATTAATTGTTACGCAATTAATAAAATTATTATGTATGTATTCACACTAATCACATAAACTAATTATGCCCCTAAGGGGCCTGAGGTATAGATTGTTTATTTATAATAAAGAAAAAAAAACTTTTTTACTTAAGTAGTTCGTTAATTTTTAATTTAGTTGAATTGACATTTGAAATAACTTAGTTTTATTCAGTTTATTTAAAAATAATCCATGGAATTAAAAAAATTTGAAATTCTGAAATTTTACTAAAATAAAAATGTAAACAATTCAATACTATTATAGTGGTACAAACATTTCTGTTATTTTTCTTGACAAAATAATTTTGTAAGTAGATATATTTTGGTAGATTAGATTATCATAATATTATATAACCTTAAATTATTGCTATTTTGTATGAACAATTTATATTAATTACCTATTTCTTTTATTTTTTTTTATTAGAAATCAAAATAAATGGTTACAAATTAACAAGTTTAACAAATAGGTACAGTTTTGATTACCTACCTCCTATAAGCTAAAAGCTTGTGTTGGAGGTAGGGAGTTATTGAATTTTAAATTGAGATGTTTTTAGTTAAAATATTTAATAATCATGTAAAGTAAAATATGTATATTAGTTACAGTATAAGTTACATTACGATGGAAGTTCAATACAATTGTTTATTATATAATATTTAGGAAACTAGAAAAAAGCAGTCACTCTTTATGTGATCCACTTGCTAATTTAAATAAGTAGATTAACTTTTTTTAAACTGAGTTAAGTTAATACCTATTTTTTCCATTTTAACTTTTAACTTAAAGAGTTAAATTTATGATTTGTTAACTGTTAACTTATTGATCCTGTGTTCTCTTAACTTAACTTGAGTTACTTAAATAAATTAAAACTTTGTGAAATAATTTGACGGGAAACCGGAAATTGTGGATTAGATTTAGGCATTAGCACTTGGTATATTTTTTAAACTACTCCCTAAATCTTTCTGATATCGCTCTAAAAACAAAATCTAAGTTTTTCGTTAAAATCAATCTATTAGCTAGTTTTTGAGTATATAAGCTACAAACATAGATTTGGTTTTAATATATAGTCTCGAGCCATGTAAACGAGACGAATTGATGCATGCTTTTACCTCATCTGCCCGAGTAACCATTAATAACCATTTATAAACAAAGCAAAATTGAATCTCAAAATCCTTGTTTGAGTGGACCTCTTTAAAATCCTTTTTAAATGGGTCTTTGCTTCATAAAACGAAACTACTGACCAAATTGCATACACATGGCTTCGGCGTATCTGACTAAGTGATTATGAATCAGTCAGTCAATTAGTCAGGTTAAATTCTTTTATACCTATATAATAGATGTCTACAATATCTATATTTCATTTTCAAATCCTCCAGAACTTTTTATTCGGATTTTGGTTTTCAAATACCAGATTAAAAAATGTAAGCAAACATTTGGGTACCTAAATTAATAACCAGTGGTCGGGACGCTACTGTTTTTTTGTAGCACGCTAACGCTACTGAAGCTACATCCTAAAAAAAGTAGCTCGCTATCGCTCTAAAGCTACTTTTTTTTTAAATGTAGTGCGCTATTTCTAACGCTATTGTTTAAATGTAGCGTGCTACTTTTTCGCTATATTTTTTAAAATTTTTTTTTTGTTTATTTAGATATTCACTTGAGTACTTAGTCATTATTTGTTAATGCCTACCACTATTTTCTTGTAATTTCGGAAGGCAGGTTTATTAAGTGTAACTCATGTATTTTTGTAACAAAAATCGAAACAAACGTTTTATTGAAAATTGCTAACTAGTTGAATATGACGTGGTGGCTTCAGGTTCTGTCATTTTTAATTCAACTATTCAAAATATATTTTAAAACTTAAAAGAAACACAGAAAAGTAGAAAACGCTGAATGCCGAAAACAAAAATAGTGATGATAAAATACTAATATATTAATTATTATTTATGGTTCTGTTTTCAATAATATAAAATATTACATTGTAATAATGCACTTATGATTATAGTCTTATCTATCCGGTCTTATCTTAGTCCGGTCCGGGCTAAACCCGAAAAAATCAAAAATACACTCATCTTGTCATCTTAATTAAATAAATAATTAATAAATATGCATCATAATATTTTAATTATCATGAAATAGGTTAGAAGTAGCGATAAAATAATGAATATTTTCGCTACGCTAACCATAAATTTCTAGCGCGCTATAGTATTTCTCTATATTGTATATACTGTAGCGACGCTATGTTAATCGCTACAGCTAAAGTAGCGTGCTACCGTAGCGTCGCTACAATTAGCGCGCTACTCCCGACCACTGTTAATAACCGTAAATATTCGGGTCAATATTGGTTAATACGGCTGTTCGCATATATCTTTATAGGTATCTTTATTAGATATTTCATTAAAATATTTTCTCATTTAAATAAATAATATTATATTATAGACTACCTATAGTATTTGGTCACTTTGCTTAGCTGAGTTGTTGACACCAGACCAGACCCGACCAAACACGTCAATACGTCAATATTTTATAATACTATTAGTTATATTTGGTTTTATTCTATACTGTTTATTAAGAAATACTTTATAATATATAGTAAAAAAAAAATAATTTAACTTTTATAGTTCAAATTATTTAATATTCGATCATCAGGTACCTATCAGAATCGATTGATAGAGATGGATTTCATTTTCTTATAGATAAATATACTGTAGGTACTATCTACTATTTATACCTATAGTAATTCCTTTTCAACCTAAATCGTACTTTTATAGTGAACATTTGTATAAATACTTGTATAAATACTTGTATAAATACCTGTATAAATACCTCTCACGTTATTTATAGTAATAATATAATGATTGGTATAATGGCAATTTAACTAGATTACCTATACGAATTATAATTTTTAATCGATTATGTACATCCACAGAGAGCGTTCCTTCTTTACAAACTGGAAATAATGGTTTCATTGGGAAATCACTAGGTAGAAGACTGCTCAAGAATAGAAAACGCGAAAATGAGAACACATTTTGCTTCACTCCCGGCTGTGTAAAAGCTGGTGAGCATAACAGTTATGAAATATTTATTCGATAGGTCGTACACTACTCGATTAATTACTAATTTATAGTAAATTTAATTAACTGTTTGTATACCTATTGTTTAATTGGTAAATTCATCTTTGAGTGGTTTTTTTAAAATTATTTCTGGCTTTTCTCTGGGGGCCGCATAAAAAAATTTTTTTTTAAAAAAAAGGTTATTAGAAATACAATTTTAACATTAATTTATATTAATGCAATATATTTTACGAACATAAAAAATCATATTACGAGTTACATGTTTGTCCTATATATAGTTTTATCTAATTTCAAATAAAAATATGCCAATAGAGATAAGTTTTAAATTTAAAAAAAAAATTATTTTACATTAAAATGTTGCTTTTGAGTAACATATAAATTGTTGAATGAAAAAAGTATACAAATAAAACCGGCCCTAAAATTGTTTAACATAATAGCTGCTTCCGTGATCAACAATATGAACGCATCAGTAAATCCCTGTGATGATTTTTATGAGTTCGCATGTGGAAGTTTTATCAAATATACGATTATCGACGACGACAAACCGTTTCAGACGACATTCAGCATCGCTGGCGATACGCTGTTGAACAAGCTGCGAATAATCGTCACCGAACCCATTAAACCTGACGAACAGAAACCGATCAAAATGGCGAAATTAATGTTTAAATCGTGCATGGACAAAGGTATAAGAATAATATTGTAAGTTTGTGGGCCCCGAGGCAGTTTAAATTTTGAGGATCTATAGAAAATGATTACCTACCCATTGATATACGTCTTTAATTTTACTATACTACGCAACAGTACAAATAAGCAGTTTTAACAATGAACAACTCATTTTAATGGATAAAACAATGTTCCTTTATTAAATAATTTCACTAAAAACCCTAAAAATGTACAGAAAAAAATTAATTAGGTCGTAAGAAGGTACTAGGGATGTAAGCTTGAAAATTTTCATTTGAATATTTTTTTTTTCACTGGAATTTTCAAATTTTGATTTCTATGTTTATTTTTAAAAATAATTTATTTTGTAATAATTGTAGGTATAACAGTTGTTGGTTACACTGACTACTAGATAATAGACATGAGTAATAAAACCACTGAATAACGTTGTCCTGTGGTTAAACAATCTTATAACCACAGATTATTATCATGGATTTACATATCTATGTATTTACTATTTATATTGTTTATTATCACTAATGACTTATGGTTATAAATAACTTACTGTTATAAACTTACTTGGCAGCCAAAACAAAAAAAAATTTTCAATCACTAGTAGGTACCTAATATTTTTATGTTTTCTCCTGAAAAAAATAAAAATTCTTAATAAGCTATAAAAAAAAGATTTTAACTTAATTAGTAAATGTTGTAATGCTTATAGAGGAAAAGACATTTATGGTTTTAACGTTTAAGGTTTGGGTTTTGATTTTTAAAAATATAAAATTTTGGTTTCGGTTCATACCGGTTTTAACCATTTCCATAAGACTTGAGGCCAGCCGGCGTCATAATACGATAGTACAACTCAAATTATGAAAAAAAACCCTTTAAAGAGAGTCTAACTTTTTATTTTTTTAGTTATGGGCAATTCAACTTTTTAAACAAAACCGAACCTACAACACATTTGCAGACTTATTTTCAAAATTTGACTGTAATATATTGTTTTTATAGCTATAAACTAACATACACAATCAAACTATAAATGTACAGATTATTTTTATAAAATTGAAAAAAGTAAAAGAGTTGGAAAAAAATTAGATATTTAAAAGGAAATCGCGTATAAGTCCAAATAACATATTTTATTTACTACAGTTTGTTTTTATTTTATTTTATTATTCCACAGATTTATACCTAGAATACTAAATTTTGTATTCATATCTTCCATAATTTCTAAGTGATACTGCTGCTAAACGTGACACGACTTTCGTAATTGTAATTTAATGTTGTCAATAGACATTGGACATTAATTACTAGACAACTGCTTAGAAGAGCCATTCATAAAGAGGTGAAATTTAGGAAAACAAAATGTTTAAGGTATTCTAGGTATTATTCTGTAGAATAATAAAATAAAAATAAACACTGTAGTAAATACAATGTTATTTGAAGTTTATGCGATTTCCTTTCAAAAATGCTAATTTTTCACAACTTTATTTATTTTTTTAAATTTAATAATTATAATTTGTACGTTTCTGGTGTGTTATGTATGCTAGTTGATAGTAGAATAAAAAAAAATAAGATAAAAAGTTATTGTTATACATTTTTTTGAAACGGTCCAGCAGTATTTTAGTCTACTAACTTCGCATCATAACTCAACTCTTAAAACTAAAGTGACCAAATATTATATTTATAGGTTAAAATTATGATATGCGATTAATTGACAGTTACATGTCAACCATTTAAATAGAAAAATAAGATTCTACTAATTTTCTTCTATTCTTATATTATAATAATATTATGTAACCAATGGCCACCATTTACACACAAACATCCAATTGAAAAAAAGCCTTTCACTTTTTTCCAAAATGTACCAATTTTTGGAGCAATTTTTTTCCCCTTAAGAACGTCATTCGGAATATTTACTAACATTAAAAAAAAAGATTCAAATCTGTCCGGCTAGCCGTTCTCGATTGATGCGATTACCAACGAACAACTTTTCATTTTAATCACAATGAAGTTCACGTTAACAGAAAAAATCGAAAGAGATGGTTTGGAACCGTTTAAGAAAATGTTGGAAGGCTTCGGTGGATGGCCGGTGCTTGAAGGCGATAAATGGAGTTATACTGAGTTCACGTGGAAGGACATCGTGTACAAGATTAGAGAGGCGGGTTACAGCGTGGACTACTTGATTCGATTTACCATCGGCATAGATTTGAAAAACTCCACGATGAGAGCTGTTGAAGTGAGCTCACAATAAAATGTTGTAACAATAATTCAACATGCTAACTGTCATCGTAATGCAAATCTGGCCAAAGTTAAAAGTCAAGTTATAAACTTAATTTAACTTAACTTTTGAACTCGACTATAGTTCCTTTTGGGTTTCCGTCAATTTACCTAACTGTTTTCAATTAACTAGAAATCAAAAAATTATATTTTCATCACAAGAAGCTATTATGCTAACTAATTTTGTTTTCAATTTCATTTTATTACATATCAATCGATTTCGTTTCCATGTAAAAAAAATTGTTTAAGTGGGTGTCGCTCCGAAGTACAGTAGGTAAAAAATGTTGACCTCCCGAATGTACCAACTAGATTCACTTTTCCCATCGGAAAAGATACTGAAGTTGTAAATGGGAGTATTATTTCGGATCCTTATCTTGTACACTGATACAAAAAACCATCATTGTAATATCAATATACATTCATCTCTCGGAATCTAAAATATTTCGGGTATAAATGTTTGGAATGAATTATTGTCTTTTTAGTGACTGAAAACTTCAATGGGTCTTGGTATATAGTGATACTGTGTATAAACACTATGTAGTTTAGAGTTGGTAAACAAAATAAAAATCGACCACCAAGATCAATGTGATTTAATAAAAAGTTAAAAAATATGTACAGACCTGGGTAAACTTGGGTAAACTTTATGTAAACTTTTTCTCATTAGTGTATATTAATTTGACTTGATTGAGTTAAAAAAATAAACTCTCCCAGTTTTGTCGTTATGTACCCCCGACCTAACCTAATAATAATGCGTTTGACGGTCATCTCTCATCCGACTTTTCGTTTCAGCTGGACGAAGCGTCCTTGGCACTTAAGGGCACCGACGAAAAGTCCGTGGCCGCGTACTTCAGGTACATGGTGGACATTGCGGTGCTGTTCGGCGCTGACCCGCACAGGGCCATCAAGGAGCTGAAACAGTCGTTGGAGTTCGAGATCCGATTGGCCAAGATATCGATGACGGCGGAAGAGCGCCGGGACACCGCCAAGCTGTACAACCCAATGAAACTTGCCGACCTGCAACAAAACTTCCCGACCATACCGTGGAAAGAGTACCTGAACAACCTGTTGTTCCCGCTGACCATACAGCTGGACGACATTATAATTGTAAACTCGCCGAAATACCTGTCGGAACTCGAAAACCTACTCTGCAGTACGCCCCGAAGGTAATTCCATATGGCATGATGTGGTGAAGTATTTGAGTAAAGTATTCAAATTCATATTTAAGTACTTACTCACCTATTGAATACTTTTTTTTATATACTTTCAGTTTTAACCTTGGAATTATTTTCGATAGTATTTTTTATTCCGAATACTTTTGGTTTTTTTCGAACATGTTATTTTAATTCAAAGTGTTATGAACCAATATGCCGGGCAATAATTTTGAAAACAATGTTTTTATCATGCAATAATCTTTTATTTAATAATCTCTCTGAATACAAATGATTATAATATATACCTACTGTATTTCGTTTATAGTTATAAGCTTACGATAATAAACCAAAAGTATTTGAAAAGTATTTGAGTAGGTAGATCTTAAATACCTACATGAAAATGAGGTAAAAATGTTTCTTTTTAAATCTAAGATTTTAAAATGTAATACAAGATTCCTATACATGAAAATATCACTGAATGTTTATATTAGCATTTCCTATACACTACACAATATGTTGACTCTTTTTGAGCTATTTACGGACATTTTCTGATTTCAATTTTTTTAGTTTTTTTTTCTATAAATATCAATAAAGTTTTATTTGTTGGGATAAAAATTGTAAACATTTAATACAAGGCTGCTGATATATTGTTACAATATCAGTTGAAAAATATTAAAAATACATTGCCACAATTTTTTTTTAAAAGCATTTAAAGATCAAATTTTGACAAGATTTATCAAATTTAAAATTAAATAATTATTTTGTAGTTAAAAATGTATAAAATGTTCAACTTTTATATCTAAAGATTGAAAATTTAAAACAAGATTGCACGTAAGTATAGTTAATTCTGTTAACAAAAAATCTGAAAATACATAAGCATAGTTTATTTTTATATTCATTTTAAGTTCAAATTTAGACGAAATTACATAAAAAAAAAATTGTGCCTATGTATTTTTAATATTTTTCAATTGCTACTGTAACAATATATCAGGAGCCTGAATGTCAAAATGTCAAAATATCTCAAAAATAAAAATATTCCGAAATAGACAAACATTTGCAAAATTAAATTTTATATTTCAGTTCTCTGAACCATGAAACAAATTTGAAGCTTACTCTTCTGTTTATAAGAAATATGCAAATGCTATAAAATCCTAATTATACTTATTACTTAATAATTATTATAGTTATTATATTATTAGGATTCCCTAGATTGTATCATACAAATAATATTCGTAGGTGCCATGGGTGGTGCAAGGGGGCTTGTGGGGCTAAAGCTCTCCCAAATACACAAATAGCCCCCCAAAAACTCACACTGTACTTATTTTGAATATAGATACTTGTAAAACATTTACATATTTTTATAAAATATATTAATACATAATTATTGAATATTGGAGGGGCAAGTTAAAAACGAGTAAACCTAATTTAATTTTTTTAAGTTGATAATTATTATTCTCACTATGATAACTAAAATTATAAGTTATAACACAACATAGATAGTACTTACTGATATTATACTACCACCATCGAACAATCACAGATCAGTAGGTTTTGTTATATTTACAAATTTCAATGAAGAACGTTTCGAAATTTATGAAATTTATTCAAGCCAGTAAAATAAATTGTTTTAATATTATAAAAATAATAGCTGGTGCTTCAGCCCCTCAAAAAAAAAAAAAAAAAATGGTCAAGCTCTGTCCATTGTAGGTACATGATTTACTATAGAATTCCAATAAGAATAAATTGTAAAGTCTCTCTACTTTCCTAAACTTACATATTTTAGTTATTTTGAATAGCTGAGTACAAGCTACATCATCCGCCAACATAATGAATTGTTATTTTTATATATTACGTTCATAATAATATAATTCAATAGAATTTAATAGAATAAATTACCATTGTTTTAAAATATTCAGAATGTAATAAATGGGTAATAAATAATTATGGGTATAAAATTATTATATTTTTGATTTTTCTACAATATTTTATAATTACTGGTAAATACTACTGTATTAGATAGATAAAAAAAAATACTGCACAAAAATTAATTTGTTTGTATTCCCTGTGTAAATTTCCCGGGCAGAACCAAATTGACGTAACATATAAATCGATATAATACGAATTATTGTTATAATCGAATTCACTGTCCTGACTGACTGGTCAAGATTAAAGTAGAACTACACATAAAGTCACAGCTGTTTAAAAAAATATATAATTTATAAATCATTATATTTTGTGCCTGAAATCGTAAAAATAAATACTAAATATTACTACATTCAAAAACGAATTATGTGTCATTTTCTCCAAAATATTATCATTCTTATTCGATTTCATGCCTATTAAAATCGGTAATAGCCAATGATGTGCGTCAACAGGTTAATTTTCTACAGGTACTATTTTCGTAATTTTTTACTGAACAGCAAATTATTTTTCTCAACATTTCATTAAAATTTCCCATTACACCCATTGAATTCGCTATTATTTAGGGATTAAAACGGTTTACTATTGATGTTAAAAATAATAAAATTTCACTATGAAACAATTAATTAATGAGATTAATCATACATTAAGATTAACAATATATAATAATTATCCACAATAATTTATCTCATAAATACATTTTTTCATAGTGAAATTGTATTATTTTTAACATCAATAGTGCATCATCTTAGCAATGGCAAATTCTACTTGTGTATATGTTATTGAAATTACTGAATATAGTATTTATTTATGGATAAAATCCATATGGACTACGGTATAATCATCATCGGTTGATCATAGACATTTTTTTGCCCAACACTGCTATAAATTCCTTAAAAACGCTTATGGAACGTCTGGAATCTAATTCGAAAATTTTATCGTCAGGATCTCCGCGAATTACCTGATTTGGAGATTGACCGCACAGTGCGTCAATTTTATGCCTGAAGAATTGAGGAAACGAGAGTTGGAGTTCCTCACCGAGCAGAGCGGCAAGACTGAACGAGTGCCCAGATGGAAGGAATGCGTGGGCATCAGTTCTGATAGGTTTTCATTGGCCATCGGATCGTTGTACGTAAGACAGTTTTTCGACGAAAGGGCCAAAAACGAAGCTTTGGAAATGGTGGACGGTATCAGGGAGGAAATGAACAAAATATTATCTACAAACGATTGGATGGACGACGAAACAAGGTACGATAAGTTCGACTTTCGGTCCATAAATTAGGTAGCTAGAGAGCGGATTTATATGCAATTATATAATTTTTCCTTTTCACATATTATTGTTTGTATTCATAGTAGTTTGAAGCATAGAATATATACATTTTTTTTGCATATTGTATGATTTCTGCTACCTATTTGCGAGGCTGGGCATTAACGAGTAAGAAGTTAAGTTAGTTAAAAAGTTAATTTAATTTAAACTTTTTGACTTAACTAGTTAGTTTTGAATTTTCATTAACCTAAATGTTAATTTACTAAATTTCTTTTTTAATTAACGTGAAATTAATAAATTAATTTTTAATTTTAAAAATAAGTTAAGTCAATTTATTTTGTTTTTAATTTTATTATATTTCACTATTTCAGTCTATTTTGTTTTCATGTCAAAAAATATTTACCGTGAATTGTTTAAAGTTAAAAATGTATATAATTCGAATCTAACTTAGGTATATGGAAATACTGTATTAATTATAAACGCTATAGTCTATAATTTAGTTTAGGGTTGGAAAAATATTGAGTACGATAGCGTTGTATAAGCAAATCAACTTATTATAACTTATTAAAAGTTAACAAATGTGTGTATTAACTTTAAACTTAACTGAGTTAATTTATGGTTAAATTAACTTTTAACTTTTAACTTTTTGTTATTTGTTGCACATTAACTTAAATTAACTGAGTTAAAAAAAATCATTGACTTGCCCAGCCTTGCCTATTTGTTTAGATTTTAATAAATTATAACATATTGAAGCAAAAAATATATTTTAAAAAAGTTATAAAATAATATTTGGTCAAGTAGAAATTTAAAAGCAAATTTTTAGGCACTTTTAATAGATAATACATTTCACCTACCCTTAATATTATGAGTTGTTTATTTGTTTCAATTTATTTTAATACGTCAGTCAAATTATTTAACTAATGATAATACAAATTGTGCTTTTATTAATTTAGGTAGTACCCCTTATATAACTCAATCCCCAAATTTGTTTGTCTTGCATATTTTTGCATATATTTTTACGATTTTGATAATTTTGAGTGAGTACAAATCGTCGCTCTAAATTTATAACGCATAACCCTTTTTGACGGCAAAAACTATTGTGATGTATTAATTATTTTTTATTTTTTCACTGCAGGAGAACGCGATAGAACAAAGCGAATGCAATGACCAGTCATGTTGCATACCACTTGACGAATTATTGGACGACTGCAAGTTGAATGAGTTTTTATGGAAAACGTAATTATTTATAAAATATAATAGGAAGATAGAGAAAGACCAGACAAATAAAACAACTTTGTTCTAATCATATTTATTCATTTTGTTTTATATATCTTTTACAGACGTTGAGTACACGTCTAGCAATAACATTTTGTTATTTTTATACAGGAAAGTAAATCTCTTTATAGCTGGAAAATAATTTTTTTTATAAAATTCAAAATAGTCATTTGTAAAACTGGATTTTTTGGAACAATTTTGATCAGAAAAACATTAATTAAAACCATGTAAGTGGTTTATTTTGTTTAATTTTTTTTAATCTCTTTATTTTATTCAGTAAAGTTGATCCATTTGTAAAAAACACATTTTTAAATTCAAGATATAAACTTGTTTTAATAGTTTATGGAGAATTTTCAACAGGTACCTAATACTAGGTACTTGATAAAATCAAAATATATTGTTAAAAAGTTATTACTTTTAAAATCAATGATTCGACTTTGATAAACGTTTTTAAAGTCAAATTTTCCTAAATAACAGATTTAGAAATAGGATATATTAATTTTTTCAAAAAAAAAGTAGCTCTGATTTAAAATTTTTTGTTTTCAGTTTTAAAATAAAATGTTATATCAGATGTGCAGTGCAAAAGTTAATAAATTATACATAAAAAATATAAACTAAATAAACATAAAAAATATTGATTAGAACAAAAGTTATTTTATTTGTCTGGTCTTTCTGTTACACCCCTGAAGTATTGGAGAGTAATAATTATACGATATATGATTAGGATTTTAAATTATAAAATTTGTGTCTGTCATGACTTAATTAGCATTTGGTCAAGAATTATGTGTTGTATTTTTTCGTAGCTCGAAGATCAAGATAAAGAACCTTTCACATCCATAATGAATTTTACTAAATTCCTCACTCACTACATCTTTCGTCGTTTAAGGCACCAGTAAACAAATCGGATTGGATAAATCACAGCAAAACGGCAATTATAAATGCCTTTTACAGTTATGACGAAAACAGTATCCGTAAGTAATAATGGAATATACCAAACGTCCAGCTAGTGGCGTAATTATAGGGGGGGGGGAATATCCGCGAGAGTCTATTTTTAAATAACTATCATAATATTCTCGTGAGCCCCCTTGGCTATAAAAATATTATAATAAAAATTAATGGATTGTCCATTGTGGTTATCTATTATCACAGTTAAGAGACGTAACTGATAGAAATGTTTAACTCACGATCAGTTTAAGTCTAACCAACCAAAAACTTATCTTCTTACCTTCTATTAGTATGAACACAGAATAAATTAAACTGTTAATATTGTTAATAATTATTATTTTTGTTAATTCCCCAATAAAAACACCTCGGATCTTAAGCCAGTGGCGTCAATTGGGGGGGGGACAAGGTGGGCATTGGCCCCTGTCTGATTTTAAAAAGGTGCCCGGTGCCCAGTTGTTGTCGTCGTTTACCCATATTATTTTATTAGCGCAAAAACATGCCATTTTCAGAAAATATTATACTATATATGTACTATAAGAAATTATTGTCACAATGATACATTTTTACTCATTGATACCTAGTTGGAAATATATTTAGACGTATGTGGGGACGTAAACATGGGTATGTATTTATGTATTTATGTATGTTTGTTTGTGTGAGTGTGTTTTGTGATGGAAATAACATATTAATCGGTATAGTTAAATTTCGAAAATCTAAAATTAATACAAATTCTAAAAACAACAACCGATTGGCACTCTTCTTAATTATCATTGATCACGTCTTCATCACAAACTTCAGTTAACTTGCGACAGTCGTGTATGATGATTCATCTGTTCTGTTGTGTTAATTTAGTTGAGTACTTTATTCTACCAAACCAAATTAAATTTTTTTTTTTCCCTGACACGTGTTTACATTAATCTTTTAATTTGGGCAAAATATGACTTTAAAAAAAAAAACTGGGTGGTGCATTTAAAAATATAAAATTACCGCAAACTGCTCAAGAATCGAAAATAATTTCTGGTTTAATAAACAGGCAACACTTGAGTCGGTAAGCAAGCAATTAAAAAAAAATATATTATAATTTAAGATAATATTATTAATTTGTTAATACATCGTATTCCTCCTATATACCCTTATATTTAAAAATGATGTTACCTAGTTAATAAAAAGGTACTTACCAGAAAAAAATGTAAGTATATATATTATGTGGTTTGCCAGTGGCTTTTTTTACCCATTCTGGAGGGTCAAAACCTTGCCCCCCCCTCATTGAAAACTGAAATGACGCCACTGTCTCAAACCTAAAAAAAAAACTTAAAAAATGCCCTGAATCAAATGCTTTTATATCCTACAGTAGGTACTTAATGCACTATAATTTTTTTTTTTTTTATAATTTCGTTACAAATTCTAATATAAATTTATTATACCTAAATGATAGTAAAAAAGTTTTAATAAATGATCTGATCGTTTTGGACTTCTTTAATCTGAAAAAACAATTATTTCCATACTAAAATTATTTTATTTTTTTAAATAGGTTTAAATCATATATATATATATATATAGTTATAGTTTGTTCAATTTATATAAAATTCATGTAAACGCGTTACGTGTGTAAAAATATTAAAATAAAATGTCATATTATATAATCTTTAAAATGCCTAAAAATCCTAAAATATTCTAAAAAATAAAAATAACCTTAAAATTTAAAATTAAGAACGCTTGAATGGATTACACAATTGTTAGTGTGTCGGGACATAATACTAAATCCTGAAGGCATACTAGACATTTTACCAAAAAAAAAAAAAAGGTGGAATTTATATTAGAATCATACATTTAATTCAATTTAATTGTTTACTTTATATTTTTTCAATTCAATTACTATTACATCATTTAATTTTATAATAATAATTTATATCATATTATATGATGTATGAGAGTTAACGAACATGATGTGGGTTGGCATAGCGTATATGGTCATAAAAACTTATACCCCATCTCCCAGAACCAATTCCTACTGTAAACGTCTATAATACATATTATATAGGTACCTATCTAATTAATCAGATTAAACGCGTGGTCTGTAATTAGTTAGTAACAACGCAATTTAACTTTCAATCAAAAATCGGGCACAAAAATTACTATATTTCAGCAATAGAATAGGTAGTATAAATGAAACTGTATTTTCATTTTATGCTCCCGCTAAACAAAAAATTCAAGGTACCTATCCGAAATAAAAAAATCAATTGTATAGAAGCGATTTCGTGAAGTTTCCCAGGCAATTAGTTGACCGAACCGATAAATGTACAACAGTGTTTAAAATTATAGATATCGATGAATTCAATGTAATTTTGATTTAGTGGTATTGTTAAGAATACTTTTTAAATTGTATTTTTTGGGATGGTAGCAGGTAATACGCTCTTACATTTTTGGAAATAGGTACGTATTCGAGTACTATCTTTCAAAAGTATATAAATACAAATACATTTTAAAAGTATTCAAAAAAATTTACCACTTAGTACTTTTTTTGTACGTACCTACCTATATTAAAACATTTGTACGTTTATCACGCACGGTAGATAGGTAGTATCCTAAAAATTATTAATAATTATTTAAATGCAATAATTAATAAATACATGCTTCAATTGATTCAAGAATTTCAGATATCCCATAATGTACCAGATGTATATATTATAGTTTTAATACTTTAACACTAATTTATTCGAATACAGAATAAAAGTATTCTTTACTAGACTGCTAAAAGTATACACAATATAAGGACATAAATATAGGAATTTTTACGATCGTAAATTACTATAATTAATATAAACCTGAAGTTCTTTTGTGCCACGTGGACCCCTGTAAAAATAATATTTGAAGTTATGTTAAAAATTTGATTTCAATAACTCAATTTTTCATATTTTTTAAAAGCATTTACACATTTTTTTTTACACAAAAGTTTCTTTTTTCATTATGAACAATCCAAAACTGTCAATAACTAGCTGAGTATTCTAGCTTCACCCTGATGCTGTTTCTTTTTGTGGCAAATCCTATATAGTATGCTGTGCAAGTGTACCTAGGTTAGAGTGAATCTCAGTGTTAGTGCACCTCAGTTCACTGACAAATCAGCGTCAGTGTACCTAGTTTTGTGAAATAGTTCGACCTAGATAGGTAACCACTAGTTACGGATTAGATTTAGCACTTAGCATATTTTCTAACATGGTTTAAACCAGGGACTGAAACTGAACCTAAAAGTACCAGTATTACGGAACCGGAACCGAAACTTTTATTTTAATATATAAATTACCGTAACCGAACCGCAATTTTTAAATTAAATAGGTTCTTTTAGGTTCAAAAATAAAATAATTTTATTTATCATAATTTAATAGTAATACTGTTTTGTGTATAAACTGTGTATGATCAAATGAGTAAAAGCATAAAAAACAGTAACCGTTTTATTATCTGATAAAGACAAAAAAAAAATTAGAATAAAAATTATAACATTAATATTGTGTATTTAAATTTTAAATTTTAAAACCAATTAAAAACAGCACCTCGGCTATGGCAATTTTTCAACAGTGGTATACTGATTACATATTTGTAAATTTATTTTTACATGTGGATTTGGAAAACGATCGAGAACACATCATTTTTTCAGACATCAATTATAATGAATATCACGTTTGGGTACATCATAATAATATGATATATTATGATAGGTATATATATATTATACAGAGTGATTCATTAAGCGTACAACATTATCATTATTAAAGTTTAGATGGGCGGAGTGGAGTGGTATGGGGTTACCTCGCAAAATGTTTGTCCACTACTCCGCTTGTCAAAACTTTAAATACTTACAACTCATAAACTACTCTTCCTAAATTCGATTTTTATGTATCAAAATACTTTACCTTTAAAAAACCTAAGTATAAATATTCTACTTAGGAAAATGAAATTAAAACTCTTTACTGTCATTCAAAAATGTAAAGAACTTAAAAAAATATAAGGATAGAAAATATTTAAAAATATGATTTTTTAATAAAACCGTTGTCTTTTCAACAACTATTGAAACTATGTAAAAAAATATTTTCAAAAACATTAATTCTTTTGGAGATAATGAGTGTTTTACGCTTAATGAACCACGTTATATATATGACATGATAATCATGTTTTTAAAATCATCATAGGACAACGTCTGGGTACCATTACGTTTAGGTTAAGTTTTTCCTTTTTTTCTATTTTATTTTTTATAGTCTATTCGTGTTACCCAGGACTCAGGAGATAGGTACCACGAGGAGTTTGGCTCTTAAATGTTTCCCGATTTTTTTTTTTTGCAACCAATTTAAAAATATTTCAATATTACATAATATTATATTAAATCATTAGGTAGGTCATTACAAAAATACTAAATCTACTAAAATCAAAAATCGTCCAGCGCTCAAAATAATATGGCCTATGGGGTTGGGGGCATGGCTCATTGCCCCGTCACCCTTGGCTATGCCACTGAGTGATTGGTATTTGGTTTGTATATATAATATATACCACATAGGTATAGATAACAAATAATTTACACATATATTGTGTGTGTGTATGATAAGCTAAAAATCCACGAAAGCGTCGTGGACCCCTGTGAGCCACAGATTGGGGACCACTGATGTAAACTGATTATAAATTTCCAGAGTTACCCGCTGGTATCCTGCAAGGCGTATTCTTCTCCAGCGATCGCCCTCGGTACATGAATTACGGCGCCATTGGGTTTGTGATTGGTCACGAGATCACTCACGGTTTCGACGACCAAGGCAGGAAGTACGACAAGCAGGGTAACCTGGTCGACTGGTGGGCCAGGAAGACGAAGAAACGCTTCTTGGAGAAGGTGTTGTGCATCATCAAACAGTACGGAAATTACACGGTTGATGAGGTCGGACTCAAGGTGTGTTGTGTTCAATTTTGGTATATTATGATAACGTTTTCCGCAGATGCATTTCGAGGTCGAATTTATCGCTCGTCTAAAATTTCATATTTCTCGAATTTCGAATAGCTACCCGTGTCTTCGAAATTGTAATGATTGTTGGCTCACAACAACCGATAAATAATAGAATGTGTATGCACTTTAATAATTACTGGTCTTAATAAATTTTCGAAAATATCTATATATATATATATATATAAAAATGGAGGGTGAAAATGTAGTTACCTCATCAATCGAGAACAGCTTGTCCGATTTGGCTTAAATTTTTTTTTAAGATGTTCGTAATTGCCGGGAGAAGGTTTTTACAAAAGAAAATGTTTAACCTACCGGAAATGTAGGAAATCTGGATGTAAAAAATACAACAGTGGCGCAACAGTGTAATATATATTGGTTGCGATTGGTTAATCGAGGATGTCTGTTGATTTGTATTATTATATTTTATCAATATATATGTTACCGCCAATGATGATAATTAGGTATTGTTAAAAATGACTAGTCTATGTTAACACTGACTGTTTTACATAGGCATTGATATTATTGGCTAGTCATTTTAGAGAATACCTAACTAAGATAGACAATAATAGAACAAATTTAATATTAATACATAATTTCTATGATTGAGCAGTCATTGTCATTATTGACTTAAACTATGTAGCCATTTATAATTTTAGATATAATATATTATATTTACTATTTAAGAAAAAACAATGAAAAAAAAATATAAGAAACATATATTCCTCTTTGTTTAAAAATGATATATTATCTTCACGTTTATTTTTCAATAAATCAGATAATGCGTTGTAAAATTTTTGACGCATTTCATTTGAATTCATTTTTTTAATAAAACAATTCAACACTTCGAAACGAAAAACTATACGAAACTATAAACTATATTATACGAAAGCACAACGTAGACTGTAACAATACTTATGTTATAGGTTAGTTGCCGTGAGTATTAATACTATAAAATATACCTATTATTATTCGTTATAAAACAGATACCTTATCTTAACGTGGGTTTTTAAAGTTAAAACGATAAAAGATAACATTAACTACACGACGATAGGATATGTTATAATAACTAGTGAATCTATCAAATTATAACATCGTCCGATTTATCAAGTCAATGTTACAAATATATGTTGATTATAGATAATGACCAAGTTACCAAGGCATTATATTAATTGGCTAGTCAATATCATCATTACCTGAATTTATGACATTGACGGTAACATATATATAAATGAATGTTTGTGTGTAGATCAGACCTCTGGAAAGAGATAGGCTAATTTAAAAATTGGTTTTTTTTATTCATCTGATATTAGTACGGTTAGGTTAGATTAGGATTTTGTATCAACTGATTATGTTACATAGGTGGAATACGACGAACTTGGTATAACTTTGATAATTTAGAGTTAAATCATAGACCTCATACACTGAATATTAAATAACAAATTTTACAAAGTTTGAATCATATTATAGAGTTGGTACATTTAACGAGTAAGGGATCAGCTAGTTTGTATATATAATTATCGATTGTGCTACTCGTTCGGATAAATCGGACGAAACCGTTCAGAGTTTATCTTCATGTACAAAAATAATATGCTGCACCAGTCGTCGTCAACGTCATTTATAGAGAGTAGGAAAATTGTATATTTTTATAAATTTAAAACTATACGGTAGTTCCAATAAACGTGCGTGTAATCAATTACAAATTATGTTAATTTATCAAAAACAACAGTACCCATTAATACTATACTCCGATAGCTGCAATTTTGTAATGATGATATTATTATAACACATTATAACATTTTAATATTATTAATATCATTATGTATATTAGGCAGGTACCTATATTAGTTAAACTATATATGTCTTATCGTTAATTCGTTCTTATCAATAATGTATATTTTATGTATTAATCAAGACTTTCGAACATTGAGATCCAAATCTTTAAAATTCTAACAATTTTTCATCCATATCGATCGGTAATTGAATGTTTATGCACTTTAATAATTACGAGTCTTAGAAACCCATCGGAAATATTTGTATATCCATAGCTTGTAATTCTTTTGGGTAGAACTGTACAAATATTCTCAAGGTACAAAAGTATGCCGCACTACAAGTCATCAATTTCAATTTTTTGGGTAGTAATTCTGTATGAAAATTAAACGTTTCAGATCCTGAGTGGATCGGTAAATGTATTGATTTGATTTGATTATGATATTGTGTTTTTTTTTACTTTTTTATTTGTGTCTGTGTACACGACAAGTAGTCGAAATAATGCTTTGATTTTCTTCAACAGTACTTACATATTTTTTCGAAGTCAAGTGAATCTAGTTGGTGATTTAGAGGGAGGCCAACAATTAAAATTCCAAGTAATTTTGAAAAATACCGATAAAAACAAAAAAAAGGTGAATAAGTGGATGTCGCTCTGCTGTATAGTAGGTTACACGTAGGTCACTGTAATGGATGGTGCTAAATTTAAAGTCAATGATATAATATCTTTGTATAAGAAAACCGATTCTGAGCGAAAACGGTCAGTCAGCCCATGATATTACTAAGTATATTTTATGATATTATTGTGAATAAAGTAATTTATACATTTATCAATTTACGCTGAACCTTGTTTTAAATTTTCAATCATTAGCTATAAAAGTTGAACGTTTTATACATTTTTAACTACAAAATAATTATTCAATTTTAAATTTGATAAATTTTGTCAAAATTCGAACTTAAATGCTTATAAAAAAAACTGTGCCTATGTATTTTTAATATTTTTCAACTGCTATAATAACAAAATATCAGGCCTTGAATTAAATTTTCAAGCTTCTTTAGACAACAAATTAAACTTTATTGATATTTAAAGAAAAAAAAACTAAAAAAAAAGGTGCTCTACAGTACGTTACAAGTGGGTCACTGTAAATGGATAGTATTAAATTTGAATTCAATGATATAATATCATTGTATAAGAAAAACGATTCTGAGAGGAGACGGTATGTCAGTCTAGGTATAAGACATATTATATACTTATTTATCGTATTAAAAAAAATTTACCTAAAATAAGTATATATAATAAATTCCAAATTAATCATATCACAATATCCATTAGGTACTTTTAATGCGTTATACGTCAACAACAAACCCTGATACTATCATAGTCCATACATCATAGATATATAATAGTGTACTTTAGAAGTTTCAAGTACCCAGGAATAATATTACACAATCACAACAAAATAACTAAAATAGTTATTCTAAGTTTTTTTTTATGTAATTTTGTCAAAAGTTGAACTTAAAATGACTATAAAAATAAACTGTGCTTATGAATTTTTTAGATTTTTTGGTAACAGAATTGACTACTTACGTGAAATCTTGTTTTAAATTTTCAATCCTTAGCTATACAAGTTGAACACATTTCATAAACTTATAACTACAAAATTATAATTAAATTTTGAATGTGATATATTTTGTCAAAATTTGAACTTTAAATGCTTATAAAAAAAAATTGTGTTTTTTTACGCAACAAATAAAACTTTGATATTTATAGAAAAAAAAACTAAAAAAAATTGAAAACTGAGAATGTCCGTAAACATCTCAAAAAGAGTCAAATTATTTCAAAATGATATGGTGTATAGAAAATGCTAATATAAAAATTTAGTCAAAATTGCATGTACCTACGGTCATTTGTTTAAGAGTTGCACCAAAAACCAAAATCGATTTTTCCGAAAACAGATTTTGCTTAAAAATTCCCGTTTTTCCTTAATTTTCTTTTGTTTTTCACGGCGCGTTTGAAAACTACTGGAAAAATTTACTTTTGACCCCCCTCCTCCCCCAAAGTACCAACTAGGTTCACTTTCCATTCAGAAAATAAACTGTTGAAGAAAATGTAAGCATTTTTACTGTCCTAAAAGGTGATGACAGACACAAAAAAAAATAAAAAAAAATATTCCACTCAGAATCTAAAATTAAGGGAAACTTAGCAAAATCGGTTTTCAACAAAATCGATTTTGGTTTTTAGTGTAACTCTAAAACAAATGACCGTATATATACATGAAATATTCACTGGTTGTTTATATTAGCATTTTCCATACACAATACATTTTCAAAATATTTGGATTTGTTTTGAACTGCCATTTTCAGTTTATAATTTTTTAGTTTTTTATCTGTGAATAATGTCAATACAATTTTATTTGTTGGGTAAAAAGATTGAAAATATAATACAAGGCTATTAATGGATTGTTACATTGAAATTTGAAAAATATTAAAAATCCATTCACAATTTATTTTTTTATAATCATTTTAAGTTCGAATTTTGACAAATGGCGTAAAAATCACGAACGTTTTCAAATTATTTTGAGTTAGAAATTCATAAAAATGTCTATTTTTAAATATAATACAAGATTCCTTATAAGTTTATCAACCTTTATCAAAATAAAAATGTCTATAAGAATTCAAATTAAATTTTTATGAGCTTTTGAAGTTCAAATTCTTACAACATGGATAATATATAGGATAATATTCATTCGAATTCTCATGTAGCCATTTTCTTATTTTATTATAATTCAATAATGAATAACCGTAGACACTTGAGATTTATATCATATGTTTATTTTATCAATTCCTATACTTGATACAATTTTCAATATATTTCGACTTGTTTTGAACTGTTTATGGACAATTTCAACTATCAATTTTTTTTATATAAATATTAATACAATTTTATTTGTTCTGCCAAAAAGCGTCAACATTGAATACAAGGCTCCTAGGTTATATTGCTCAAATAGCAGTTGAAAAATATTAAAATACATTGTCACAGTTTTTTTTTATAAACATTTAAAGTTCAATGTTTGACAACATTTATCAAAATTTTAAATTTAAAAATGATTTTGTAGTTCAATATTTATAAAACGTTCAATTTGTATAGCTAAGGATTGAAAACTTACAACAAGGTTCCACGTAGTTAGGTTATTCTGTAACCAAAAAATCTCCAAAATATAAAAACACGGTTTTTTTTATAGTTATTTTATGTTCAAATTTGGTAGAAATTACATAGGTATTAAATAACC